TTTTATATTTACAAATTAATGCTACAAGATAAAACCTTAACCTGGATTAATCCTGTGTAAATTTTTTCCGAAAAATAGGAGATGAAAAATAGTGGAAAAAAGGCACTACGACTTATTTGCGTTGTGCACCACGAATATTATGTAGAAAAAATTTCGAAATTTCGTACATACAGCTGAAGAAGTTAAGACTAAATATTTTTCATAGTTTAGAAATATTAAAACGTGAACTAATACTGTATTTCCTTAATATTGTTGTTGGATGACGGCAATTGCTAAAATACCGTGCGCGTAAACTAATTCATTCATACCTCGTGGTGGTCATCTAAGTCGATTATTGGACAAACTAAAAGTCTTACGAAAAAATGTTTGGAACAAAAATTGAAGAACATCTTATTATCTATACTTTTCTCGCTGAAAGTTTTCATCTGACCAAAAAATAAAAAAAATCCTCGCTCACTTACTTTTTCATGTTTACATTGAACAACCTTTTCATATTTTCCATTATTAAAAATTAATCATCTGCACGAACTAAATTGTATTTATATAGTATTAAACATCAGTCTACGCAGAATTTAAATATGTAAATTTCATCCTCTCATTATTTGTATTACAATTTAGACGAACGTGCAAAGCGACAGGGAACGCACCACTTCGAATAGTATCGCCAACATCGGAAACTCTCTTCCTGCATGTGTGTGTGTAATGGGTGCGTGTGTGTGCGTACGTTATCGTTTCCTGCACGGACTGTACCCATTGTCACTTGGAGTTATGAAACTTGGTGTTATGAACCCTTGGAGTTATGAAACTTGGACTTGTGATCCTTGCAAATCTGTACGTTTGGAGTTATGAAATTTTGTATTTTAATTTACTTGGTTTTATTTTAACTTGGACTTATGAATCTTGGAGTTATGAACGCTTGGAGTTATGAAACTTGGTCTTATGATATTTTGGTTTTAATTTACTTGGACATAATTTTACTTGGAGTTATGAAATGTTGTATTTAAAAGTACTTGGAGTTATGAAAACTTGGAGTTATGAACCTCACCCGTAATTTGATGGGTTTTTTGGACAATCTTTTTTGTGTATAGGAATAACTTTGGCAATTTTAAGTTTTGATGGAAATATACCAGACACAAAAGATGAGTTTATTAAGTGAACTAAGACCTTAACAATAGCTTTATCAACATGTTTAATCACTTTAATAGGCACTTCATCATAACCACTAGCAGGTTTGTTTTTTAGATTTTGAATAATGGTTAGTATTTCTTTTTCATCAACTGGTGTTAAACGGAAAGAATTTTTGATATTATTCCTATCTACTTGATTACAATTTTCATTGGCAGAACCAAAACTATTGCCATTTAACGATTCCTGTGTAATATTAATGAAATAATCATTAAAAGTATTAGCTACATGTAAAGGATCAGTAACAGTGGTATTATTTTTTTCTAAACGAATGTTTTTTGTATTCAACTTACATGCGCCGGTTTCCTGATGAATTATTTGCCAAACATCTTTACTAATATTTTTTGATCTTAGGATTTTCTGCTTGTAGTAATTTCTTTTGTTATTAATGACATTTTTATGATAGTTTATGTTTTTTTGTTTAATTATTTTACCTAGCATTTTATTTTTGTTTGATCTATAAGTTAGCGCCAGCTCTGATATTTCTTTCTTTTCTTCTATTAGTGAATTACATATCCACATGTTTCTAGCCTTATACTTTCTAGTTTTAATTTTTGGAAATGATATATTAAAATAATATGTAAAAAGATTGAAAAAACAGTCATATTTTAACTCAACTGGAGCTGCGTACACAGAATACCAGTTTTCTAGGCACAAATGATTTTTAAATAATGCCATATTTTCATCTGTGTATGCTCTTTTACTTATTGTAATTTTTTGAACATTATTGTGATCGGTATTGTTTAAATGAGACAACATTAACAATTGGGCATCATGATCTGAGAGACTTGTAATAATACCTTCAACATGAATTTTACTTTTGTCAATATTGGAAACAAAATTATCAATTGCTGTAGCTGTTGACTCAGTAACTCTAGTGGGAAAATTAACATAATATTTGCAACCAAATCTTTTTAGTAAATTAACAAATTCATTTCTCATTAACTGATCTTTAGCATCCTCTAAGACATTAATGTTAAAATCTCCTGCTATAATTATGTAAGGACAAATCCCAGTAATAATTTCTAGAGCATTATTGAGTTTTTCCAAAAACACCTTATCACTAGCTGCAGGTGATCTGTAGACCCCCATCAGTGCAATTTTATCTTTCCCGTTTTTAATTGATACAAAGCAACATTCAAATATTTTATCTATACATAAGTCTGTTATGCTTGGTATATTAAGGTTTTCCCACTTCACACTGCCATTCACCATTATCACCACCCCACCATTGGATGTATATCTAGAGTAAAAAGAACACATTTTATATCCATTGACATTTATTTGATCAAATTCGTCATGTTTTAAGTTGTGCTCTGTTAATACCAAAAATGCTGGATCAATTTCTTCAAGTATTATTTCCAATGACTCGATTTTATGTATCAAACCTCTTATATTTTGATTTAATATTGTTATGTATTTCTTGGGTGCATTACAAACTATCCTGGGTTTGTGATTTTGGCGGTATGGGAGTTTAAAGTGTTGGAATTTACACTACTATCTACCTGTTGGACATTGGTATTTATACAACTATTTACAAGATTATTAACAGCGCCATTTACAACAGCATTTTTAGTATGCTCAGCAAGAGATGACAACCGGGGACTCACATCACTTACACCCCCACTAACTGCACTTTGCTCTGCTTTCAAACCCCCCTTGTCACATGACACTGCAGCGGCTTCTGCGTAGGAGTGGTGTCCAGGTGTGACTCTAGGTTGGCTGGGGCTGGGGCTGGTCTGATGTGATGTGTTGAGGCTTGTCTCCACCGAAGCACCTGGTGATGAAGGGCCATGATGAGTAGCTGATGACGGAATATGCTGTGTTGAATTTCTAATGTCTGATTTTGGTTGGGTTGCCTTTTCTTTGCTGTTGTTATATTTTAAAAAGTCCAGAGAATTGATAAATGATGTTTTTTGTTGATGTTGGTTGGCAATTATTAGGCGTAATAGTTTGACAAAATATTTGTGTGTCACACCATTCCATAATATTCTTGATGATGTTTGATTGTAGCTAACTATGTCCACTGTTGCTCCAGTAAAGGTGTGGAAGTCATATAACTTTTCAACAAAGTGGTGGGGTGATATCCGGTCCCTGACACAACCCATTGCCGAACAGACTAGCTTTTTCAACCCTTTAGCTTTGAAATCCTCCTTTAGCTTTGTAAATGCTGTGTCATAGTCTATGATTGTAGGTTTGCCATTATATGTTGCCTTAGTAATCAGGCTGTAAATAATTGCTCCTCCTGTCGTCTTTTGGCATGCCAGGTGGTTGTTTATACGATCTTCGGCCTTCGGTCGTCCAAACATTTTCCTAAATGACACAGCAACACCACCGCTCATGTTTCTTGAGCTATCCAGGTCTGCGGATATGGTATGAGCAAAACCTACGCCCTCGTCACTTTGATACTTAATTATAGCATCTGTCATATTCATTTCAACCACCCTGATGAATTTCTCTATGTTGTTTGACGTCGTAGGCTTGGTACTGGCTGCTCCTTTTGGCTTATCAGGTTGAGCAGTTGACATTGTCGGGATTGTATTAACGATGCATTTTTTTACTGGCTTGGAGGTGTTCAGAGTCTTATTTACTGCATTTATTAGCCAGTCTGCCACTTGGCATTTTCCTTTTTTGTTCAAGTGCAGGCCGTGCTTAGTGAAATGCTTTTGTTTCAAAGTATCAAGTTGTTTGTAAACTGTCATCAAGGACTCGGCAACAAAGATTGGTTTACAATGGTCCAGATAATCTGCACCATTCACAATCCTTATTGCTTTCTTTTGCAGAAGCAAGACCCTCTCGACCCCAGATGCGGAGCCCCACAGACGCAAACCATACAGAAGTACACTCTGAAAAAATGCTACATAGGCTGTTTTTAACCATTCCTTGGGTACAGAGTCTCTAAGTCTTCTCAGGAGAAAAATTACCCTAGACAAACGACTACAGACATGAGAAATATGACAGTGCCAGTCTAACTTTGGATCCAAATATAGGCCTAGTAATTTAACATTTGAAACTTCATGATCCATCTGATTTAAAGTGAAAACAATGGTTTGGGATTTACTTTCATTTAACTTAAAAAAGTTAGCTCGGAACCATGCTGATGCTATCCCCATGGACTCAGACATTTGACCATTTAGAGTTATCAGGTCTTTAGAGAAACTGAAAAGGGTAGTGTCATCAGCATAGCAGACGACATTTCCTCCAAAATTTGGAATGAGGTCATTGGTCATGATAATGAACAAAAGGGGGCCAAGTGCAGACCCCTGTGGGACACCATGAGTGATCTGACAAGGGCTAGAGATATGTCCATTTATGAGCACCCTCTGCTCACGCCCAGCCAGGTATGACTCCATGAGCCTGAGTTCAGAGCCCTTTACTCCATAAAAATTCAATTTATCCAGCAGTATCCGATGGTCGACCGTGTCGAAAGCCTTACTGAGATCACACAGGGTGGCCCCAGTAAAGCCTCCAGCCTCAAATCCATGCAGTACTACTGCTTCAAGCTTATCTAGAGCATCTATGGTCGAGAGACCCGCCCTGAAGCCACACTGGCCGGTCATGAGCAGATTGTGCTCTTCGAAATATTTGTACAACTGATCCTTAATTACAGATTCAAATATTTTTGAAAATACCTGGAGTAAGGAAATAGGGCGGAAATTCTCAGGACTGTTTGGATCACCTTTCTTATGGATAGGTATAACTTTGGCTATCTTTAGTCTTTGGGGAAAGACTCCTTCAGAGAGACATAGGTTCAGGCAATAGGTAAAAGGCTTAACAATGCTAGGAAACACACTCTTAATAAGATTGACAGATACCTCAAATATATCTTTGCTTGGAGAGTTGTTGAGCTTCTGGACCACCCGTATCACACTTTCACAGGATAAAAGGGTAATGTTGAACCGTGAGGCTGCAGGGTCACGTTTCTCCAGCATATCTAGGGCAGAAGTGGCTGAACCGTTGATAGCATCTCTGGTCTGCTGGACGGAGTCAATAAAATGGGCGTTGAAAGCTTCCGCAGTCACTGAAGATATCAACTGGGATTTGGACGGAGCACCTTCTTCATGGATAACTTCCCAGGCTGCTGCACAGCGATTACTGGCAGATTCTATGAAGCGAGCATTTCTTTCCAGTCTAGCTGATAGAAGTTTTTGTTTGTATTGCTTCTTAATAGTTTTGTAGCGTAGCTCTGAATCGGGTGTTTTATTGTCCCTGTAGAGATCATAGGCTAGGAGCACCCACTTCTTCCACGTTACTAGGGATTGGTCCTTCCAGTCCGGAAGATTTCGATTTTTCTTGGAGCGTTTTGTAGGCAGTAACCTTGTGGGAAAGCATTCATTAAACATAAGAAGGAAATTTTGAAAAAAACAATTGAAGGTATCTTCAGCCGCACCAGTATTATAAAGGAAGTCCCAGTTTGTGTTATCTAGGCGATATATAAAATTATTTATCTTGTCTGTTGAAATAGGCCTACATACTCTTCGACCAGAACCATCAGGTACTGCACTTGATGCAGTTTGTACATGGAGGCTGACTGCGTCGTGATCACTTACAGCAAGTCTCTTCACTTCCGTTTTCAGGAGTCTTTTGGGTAAATCCGTCGCAACGTTGTCCAGACACGAATTGCCTCTTGTAGGTTCCCACACCAAGCAATAAAGATTTAGGGATTTCAAAAGATTTAAAAAGTCTTCTGATGAGTGTTTCTCACCTTTTAAAATGTCTATATTAACATCACCACCCAGGACCAGATTATTTAGAAGCATCTCTGAATGTCTGTAACATCCTGTAGGACATAGCATAAAGGATGTTACAGAGTAAACTCTTATTGTACATAGATATACAACAACAAAAGTAAAGTAAAAAGTGAAGTATACAGATTGTCACACAGCGTGTTGAAATTCACTCAAGAATGAAGTGAATGCTTCAATAAACTATCTATACAAAACATTTCTTCTGTCATTTACTGCAGCGCTGTCAAACGCCTGAAAGAAACCTTCCTTTATCCATCATATTGATATTACATGCTCCAAAACTTGAACATCGGTCAATGTTATTTTGTCCATCAAGTAATATATATATAGAATCCAGAGTACAAAAATAGTTAAATATTAAATATAAGAATATTAAAAAATAAATTAGGTACTGTTTATAGGCCCATCCCTATCTTCTAAATAACTTCTTTATCAGCATCGTAAGTGTCATTAAATTACCTGAAAGCACAAAAATACGTCAACACAAATATAATTACCCTTATAATGTTGACCCACAAGACGGTAAATACATAAAAGATGGAAAGTGGTCGATTTCGATTGGAAATTCCAATAATCATCAGACCCAATAGGCAAATTCAAAGCTATTCGACTTTTTGCCAGATTGTGAGCTTTACAAATAATAAACGCATTGGAAAAATAGAAAGTCTATATGTAGAAGAATTAAAAGATTAATTTCTCGAAAAGATTATGACGAATAGTTATTATAATTTGACGTCATTCCTTTTAAAATAGTGTACAATGTATATTGCTACTTGTTCAAAGTGATCATGGTTAATCTAAAATGTATGAAAAACGTATTTGAGAGAGACCTGTTGAAATATCCTAAATATCCATAGTTACTCTATGTATACTATATTACTAATAGATTAATATTTAGTAATGTATACCAAATTAATTTACGATTGGGAAAATGCAGCAAGGGGATTTGTTGGTATTAATTAGCATTTTAATCAGCAGTAAATTAGTGGCTGTCGCCTAGCGCTGACGAACTGCGTATCAGAATGAGCATAACCATAACCTTACCACAGCCTGAGTAATGTAGTTATATTTAATTATTAGGTCGTTACAAATTTTGTTTTCTTGAAACACATAAAATGAGTCAACCAAAATAGGATTTCCAAACAGGGTGTTAAACGTATGAAATGTGTAGGTGTTATTAAATAACTGATATTTTCCATTGGACTAATGTAAGAATATATTTTAGCAATGGGTTAAGGTACAACAACAAATTACTTATTCTGATTATCTCCAGATTTGAAAATTCAACTTGTGTTGAAAGTAAAAAAAAGGGAGGCATTGTAAGACTACCTAATTTTAGATACTAATACAACATTTCAAAGTAACGTTATGGTTACGTAGGGTTTCAATATAACATCAAACTACACCTAAAACATTTTATTAATATTCTACTTGAGCCTGCTATTTAAAACAACATTCATAACCATGCAAATGACTCACACCACACACAAGCGTTTTCTATAACTATTTTGTAAAATCACTAAAATAACAACGAAAATTTATTGTACGTTAACACTTATTCGTGTAAATTAAAACACACCTCTTTTTAATAAAATACTCATATGATAATGATCGATTGACAACCATAACGAATTCCAACAGAATTTGGAACGCATTATGTCTTTCTAAAGCTTTGTCCATTTGAATACCATGTACATCAAAATTATTAACATGAAGACACATCTGTTGTGGGATCACTTGTAAATGTTGATGTTACATTTGTCATATTTAATACAAAAATCACACCAATGGAGAGAAGTGATTGTGCCTTTAGCTGGCTTACTAGGCCTATAGTTGCTTGACCATAACAATCTGGACCATAAAACAGCCTTTAACTGTTTCTGGAGATGGATTACCTACGATTGAATAGTTTGCAGTATTCTTAAGGAACAGTTTACGATTGGTGGCAAGAAATTTACATTTTATCTGTCTTATTTCGATTATATCATGAAAATAATTTAGTTATAAATAGCAAATCGAGGCTTGCAGTTTAATCAATGCTAAGCTTTAATCTAAGAGTTAATTAGGTTCAACATTTTTAGCGAATTTCCCATATAGGGAATAAGCTATTACCGTAGGTCTCATGGTAAGACCTAGACCCGGGAACGATTTACTTTTTCGTTTTGAGGTCCCCAGAGGCCAAAAACACCATCCGTTCAAATTCATATATATATGTATATATTATGTATTGAAGTGTTTTTGAATGTTCATTGACTACGGAGAAAATTAAAAAAAATGTTAAATTTAAAATTCCCATGTTTTTCTTATGGAGAATAAATACACTGTTTTAGTTTGCTTGTTTATGGATATATTTTAATCAAATTTGGCAATTTGGTTTATTTCATACTAAGCTATCAATATTTCAATTGAAAAAACACACCTTAACATCTTTCCCGTAGCAGCAAACCTAACTACTTACTAAAATTAATGTTATTTAAATAGGAAATAAATCTGAAAATTTATAGGGAATATTTTAGAAGAAATCAAGCCGGGTAAATGGAAATTCGCTTAGTATGCAGGTTTGCTGTGACGGGGGTATTATTTTACAAATATTATGTTCTCGTTATAATCCACAGGAAAGTGGAGAGTTATAGAGATGAAGGTTTCCTAAGTGTTATACATGCAAGTAGTTGAATTCGTATATACATCGATGTTTGGAACTACTGAAACGCAATTTGTACGGCATGCCAAACATGCGGCGGTGAACATTCTTGTGTAGTAATACAGCCTTCTTTACATCTACTTGTCCCCTTCCTTTACCTAATACCGAATAAAGGTCCAACTCATTTTGTAACGTTAAATAACGAGATAATAGGTAATAAATGTTTAAAATGTTTGCCTTTAGTTGAACGTTTGCTGTCAATTGATTGATTGCAAAATTTTAAGAGATTATTAAAAGACATTTTACAGTATTAATGGATAAAATGTACTGTATAAAAATTCAATGCTAGGTTATGGCACTATATTACAATGTGAGTTCAATTAATTGTATCTACACGATGTCTACAGCCGGAATGTATGCAGGATGGAAGATCGAAATCTTTGTTAAAAAATCCCTAATTACAATAATTTAAAACAAAAAACAACAAATTAAAAATTTAGAGGAAAACAGCAATGTGATCTTTTAGATGGTGTCAAAGACACCAGATATATCAGCTGTGGTGAAATTCTTCTATTATTATTTTCTTAAAGGTTGTAAGTTGTAATATTATTATTTAAAAACACATTTGATCACTGTCAGCAATAATAATGTATGAGTGAATTATATTTGATAATTGAATTATTTAATAATTATTTAATAGTGTTTTAAAAATGATTGGTGGAAAACATTCAAACTTATAATTTATAACATTTTCTGTAAACAAACTACTATTAATCCTTCCAAAAATAAAAAATAAGCCCTTTAAGTGTTAAGCTCACAAAGCTGGAGGAGCTTTTGAAAATTTTAAAGGATAATAAGAGCGGGCTAAAAGTTTCCTAGGGGATAAAGGATTAAGTAAACACTTTAATTGTGAAATCTTCCTCCAGACCACTTTTATGGTAAATTAATTCCTGTCTTGAAAAGACGAGTTTTATTAGACCAAGTAAATGTATATTTCACGAAACTATAGGACTATTGGTAGATTTAGGTTGTTACTCAAGTTGTAAAGCCTCCTCAAACATAGACTCGTCGCTACTCCATATTTAGTCAGTTTTAACAACCCTGCTTTCACGCTAATGGATTTTGAATACTCTACTCATCTCCCCCTACCACACTGTAAACACTGAAATTACTGTTTGGCTTTTACGGAATACTGTAATTACATCAACTGTTTAGATTTATTGTAAGTATATTATTTTCCAGTACCTGGAGACCGAGCTTTGCTCGGGGAAAATCATTCCCCCACTCTGCGATGTGAGCTTTTACTACTTCCTTCACCATTTCCTACGTCATTGTTTCCCTCCCTTCTCATAGCATTTAAGTATTACAGATACATTAATCTAGCTGCCACAAACGGTTCCTACACTCTGCGATGGTAAACTTTACTACTTCCTACGTCGTGGACATGTTGTCATCTCTTTCTATTGCATTTTAGTATTTTAAATACATTAATCTAATTGCCAACTACATTTCCCACAATCCGCACTGCTAGCATTTACTAATTCCTATGTCTTGGACATCTTTCCATCCCATCTCATAGCATTTCAGTATTTCACTTTCAGATACAGAAATCGAACTGTTACAATTGGTTTCCAGTTCCCAGACTCCACAGTGCTCGCCTTTACTACTTCATTCACCTCTTCCTACGTCGTGGACCTGTTTCCCTCCCTTCCCATGGCATTTTAAGATTGCAGATACCTTAATCTAATCCTTATAAACAGTTCCCACATTTCGGACTGCTCGCCTTGACTACTTCCTTCACCACTTCCTACGTTTCGGACCTGTTTTCCTACCTTCCCATAGCATTTTAAGATTGTAGATACCTTAATCTAATCGTCGTTAACAGTTCCCACACTCCGGACCGCTCACCTTTACTGCTTCCATCACGACTTCCTACGTCACGGACCTGTTTCCCTCCCTTCCCATAACATTTTAGGATAACAGATACCTTAATCTAATCGTCATAAACAGTTCCTAAACTCCGGACTACTCACCTTTACTACTGCCTTCACCGCTTCCTTCGTCACGGACCATGTTTCCCTCCTAGCCCATAGCATTTTAGGATAACAGATACCTTAATCTAATCGTCATTAACAGTTCCCACACTCAGGCCTACTTGCCTTTACTACTTCCTTCACCACTTCCTGCGCCGCGGACCTGTTTCCCTCCCTTCCCATAGCATTTTAGAATTGTAGACACCTTAATCTAATCGTCATAAACAGTTCCCACACTCCGGACTACTCACCTTTACTACTTCCTTCACCGCTTCCTTTGTCGCGGACCATGTTTCCCTCCCTTCCCATAGCATTTTAGGATAACAGATACCTTAATCTAATCGTCATTAATAGTTCCCACACTCCGGACTACTCGCCTTTACTACTTCCTTCACCACTTTCTACGCCGCGGACCTGCGCCGCTTCCTTCGTCGCGGACCATGTTTCCCTCCCTTCCCATAGCATTTTAGGATAACAGACACCTTAATCTAATCGTCATTAATAGTTCCCACACTCCGGACTACTCGCCTTTAGTGCTTCCTTCGCCACTTCCTACGCCGCGGACCTGTTTTCCTCCCTTCCCATAGCATTTTAGGATTTTAGATACCTTTTCTAATCGTCATAAACATTTCCCACACTCCGGACTACTTACCTTTACTACTTCCTTCACCATTTCCTACGCCGCGGACCTGTTTTCCTCCCTTCCCATAGCATTTTAGGATTGTAGATACCTTAATCTAATCGTCATAATCATTTCCCACACTCCGGACTACTTACCTTTACTACTTCCTTCACCATTTCCTATGTCGCGGACCTGTTTCCCTCCCTTCCCATAGCATTTTAGGATTGTAGATCCCTTTTCTAATCGTCATAAACAGTTACCACCCTCTGGAATAATATTTACCACAAAACTAATAACAACAATTAAACGAAATAATCTGCTTGAAATAATTCAGTAAGGCCACCAGAAATTATGGGAATCGGTGTATTGTTAATCAACGCTTAATGGTATTCATCGGACTCCTTTTCTTTTGTACTGTCTTTTTTAAATAGGCCATATGTGCATGCGCAAGCTGAGGTGCCTGTGGGTACAGAACGTCACGTTATGTCCTAAAATGTAAACAAAATGACAATAATGGCGGAATGTTTCCTCATAAGGCCCATGTTAAGTTTTCAAAAGTTTGTACTCATATTATGGCGAAAATAGATTTTTCCTGGCTATACCACTGGTCTAGAACTTATTTTTGACCCAGAACTTAGTTATTCCGTAAATATAAACGTTTTTGTTAGAGCCAATTCCCAGATCGAGTTGACAAGTATTCAAACTTTACTCGTATTATATATAGGAGTACCTTGGGACCGAGCTTTGCTCAGGTAAAATCATTAGTTTAATATGAAAGCAGTCTTAGTATTGCAGATACATTAATCCATTCCCAAACTCCACACTGCTCGCCTTTACTACTTCGTTCACCACTTCCTACGTCGTGGGTCTGTTTCCTTCCCTTCCCATAGCATTTTAAGATTGCAGATACCTTAATCCAATCGTCATAAACTGTTTCCGCACTCCGGACTGCTCTCCTTTACTACTTCCTTCACCACTTCCTACGTCGCAGACCTGTTTCCCTCCCTTTCCATAGCATTTTAGGATTGCAGATACCTTAATCCAATCGTCATAAACAGTTCCTACACTCCGGTCTGCTCGCCTTTACTACTTCCTTCACCACTTCCTACGTCGCGGACCTTTTTCCCTCCCTTCTCATAGCATTTTAAGATTGCAGAAACCTTAATCTAATCGTCATAAACAGATCCCACACTCCAGACTACTCGCTTTGACTACTTCCTTCACCACTTCCTACGTTGCGAACTTGTTTCCCCCCTCCACATAGCGTTTTAAGATTGCAAATATCTTAAATTAATTGTCATAAACAGTTCACACACTCCGGACTACTCGCATTTACTAAATCCTTCACCACTTCCTACGTCGCGGACCTGTTTCCCTCCCTTCCCATATCATTTTAAGATTGCAGATACCTTAATCTAATCTTCAAAAACAGTTCCAACACTCCGGACTACTTACCTTGACTACTTCCTTCACCACTTCCTACGTCGCGGACCTGTTTCCCTCCCATCCCATTCCATTCCATTCCATTTCATTTTGTCATGGGAGCAAGAAACTCTCTGACTGCTAACCCGGTACCTATAATTAAACATACCCGGGCCCCATGATGTAGGCCGAAGCATACTCACCGACCTTTAGTACACCATGGGAGGATGACTTAAGGTCATCAAGCTCACCGGCTGCCGAAGCAACCCTTCGGAAAGAGGGTTGCCCCTCAATCCTAACCAGGGATACCGGCTACTTGTTTAAGCGTCACTTCACTTGGGTTCCCCCAGGTACGGAACCCAGAAGCACCATAGTGAAATGCCCTGACGCATTTAGTGCAAGCAACACTCGGGACCTATCCAATCCCTGACATGCAAAACCCGCCATCAAAGCCAGGAAGAAGGGGACCACCAGCAAGCTGATGGGGGAAACCCCAACCACCCATTTGCACCACTACCCGATCGAGGCCTTACCCAGTTGCTGGGAAACCAGAGGTGACCAAGGCGATAGATCCCTGAACACCCCCAGCGGGCTTGAACCCAGCACCCGATCTACTTCGTTTGCCCATCAAACCCAACATTACTGCTAGGCCATCAGGGTTTCCCAAAAGGAGGCAGGAATAGAAGTGGGTCCCACCCGGATGAACCTATCCACCAAAGGTGGCGACACCCTTTGCTCAATTGAGGTTCCAGGGAGAACCCCCCACACTCTAGATCCTTCCGGTCTCAGAGACAGGGATTGGCTGATGGAGTGCGCCTCTGCCGTTGCCCTCACACTGCGGAAAGTTACGTTCCCCTAGAGTGTCCCCGTGAACTGACGGGTACTCGCCCGATTTCACCTTCAGGAAGGCTACTTCCAAAGTCGAGGATTTGCCACACTGAATGCCGGTCGCACATCAACAAGCGGGCCGGAGCCCAAAGGATCATAGCTACAGGCAGATGATAGATTGGTGGCGCACTTCCACCTCTTGCAGAGCTGAACACCCCCCATAACCTGGATGGGGAAATGTCACTGGGTACTCTCACTTTGGGTAAACCCAAAGAGGCTGGCTTGTCCAGTCGTCCATAACTATGACCTACTTGAAATGCCGATTCCGACACCGAGCAGTTACCTCCCCTTTGGGGGCTAACTTACCCAAATTTTCACCTTCCAGGACGAGGCTACTTCCAGAGCCGAGGATATGCCTCACAAAACGACTGGGACGGGTGGCGTCGTCCTGTAATCCAGCTACTGGGAGGTCACGAATTGTGGATATTTATAGGGATGCACTGTGGATGCGATGCTCCCTGGTGTGGATTAACGTCCGCACTAGTGAGTACTACGACTATCCGCAGTATTATCCTGATAATTAGACCAATTCGTAAATTACAAGGAAAAATGTGGTTCGGATTCCACTATAAACTGTAGGTCCCTTAGTTGCCATTAGCTGTATGGGCTATTAATTAACAGCTGTGTCTAAGGAACATGTCGGCCTTAGTCACTAACAAGACTACAAGATCGCGCCACTCATCCTACACTCATCCTTCACTCATATTTGGGTTAAAATACGCACATAGTGGCGTCCCCATCTTAAATAATTGAATTGAATTGAATTGAAAATGTCAGTTGTACACAGCAGGCAGGACGAGCCCGAAGAACTCCAGTCACAACCACAGCTACAGGCAGGTGGGAGACCGAAGTCTCGCAGAGCTGAACACCCCTCCACCCTGAATGGAGGAAATGTCACTGGGTACTCTCACTTTGGGTACCACCCAAAGAGGCTGGCTTGTCCAGTCGTCCATAACTGTGGCCTACCTGAAGTGCCGGTTTAAACACCGGGCAATTACCTCCCCTCTGGAGGGCAAGAGCTAGGGTCCGCGTGGTCGCTACTCCACGTGCCCACGCAAGCGTGAGCCCCCTCCGGGTTCCCTCCCATCCCATAGAATTTAAGATTACAGATACCTTAATCTTATCTTCAAAAACAGTGCCCACACTCCGGACTACTCACCTTCACAACTACCTTCGCCACTTCCTATGTCGCGGACCTGTTTCCCTCCCTTCCTATATCATTTTAAGATTGCAGATACCTTAATCTAATTGTCATAAACAGTTCCCACACTCCGGACTACTCGCCTTGACTGCTTCCTTCACCACTTCCTACGTCATGGACCTGTTTCCCTCCCTTTACATTGCATTTTAAAATTCCAGATACCGTAATCTAATCGTCATAAACAGATCCCACACACCACACTGCTACCCTTGACTACTATGTATTGAGTTCAGTTTAATCTTTGCTTAATAGTAACAACTGATGTTTTTCCTTTTGTACTGTATTTTGTTTTGCTGGTATAGGCTACTGTGGATAGAGAACTTCTGCGCATGCGCACGCTGAGGTGCCCGTGGGTACAGAACGTCACGTTATGTCTTAAAATGTAAACAAAACTACAACAATGGCGGAATGTTTTCTCATAAGGCCCATGTTAAATTTTAAAAGTTTGTACTCATATTATGGCGAAAATAGATTTTTCCTGGCTATACCACTGGTCTAGAACTTATTTTTGACACAGAACTTAATTATTCCGTAAATATAAACGTTTTTGTTAGAGCCGATTCCCAGATCGAGTTGACAAGTATTCAAACTTTACTCGTATTATATATAGGAGTACCTTGGGACCGAGCTTTGCTCAGGTAAAATCATTAGTTTAATATGAAAGCAGTCTTAGTATTGCAGATACATTAATCCATTCCCAAACTCCACACTGCTCGCCTTTACTACTTCGTTCACCACTTCCTACGTCGTGGGTCTGTTTCCTTCCCTTCCCATAGCATTTTAAGATTGCAGATACCTTAATCCAATCGTCATAAACTGTTTCCGCACTCCGGACTGCTCTCCTTTACTACTTCCTTCACCACTTCCTACGTCGCAGACCTGTTTCCCTCCCTTTCCATAGCATTTTAGGATTGCAGATACCTTAATCCAATCGTCATAAACAGTTCCTACACTCCGGTCTGCTCGCCTTTACTACTTCCTTCACCACTTCCTACGTCGCGGACCTTTTTCCCTCCCTTCTCATAGCATTTTAAGATTGCAGAAACCTTAATCTAATCGTCATAAACAGATCCCACACTCCAGACTACTCGCTTTGACTACTTCCTTCACCACTTCCTACGTTGCGAACTTGTTTCCCCCCTCCACATAGCGTTTTAAGATTGCAAATATCTTAAATTAATTGTCATAAACAGTTCACACACTCCGGACTACTCGCATTTACTAAATCCTTCACCACTTCCTACGTCGCGGACCTGTTTCCCTCCCTTCCCATATCATTTTAAGATTGCAGATACCTTAATCTAATCTTCAAAAACAGTTCCAACACTCCGGACTACTTACCTTGACTACTTCCTTCACCACTTCCTACGTCGCGGACCTGTTTCCCTCCCATCCCATTCCATTCCATTCCATTTCATTTTGTCATGGGAGCAAGAAACTCTCTGACTGCTAACCCGGTACCTATAATTAAACATACCCGGGCCCCATGATGTTGGCCGAAGCATACTCACCGACCTTTAGTACACCATGGGAGGATGACTTAAGGTCATCAAGCTCACCGGCTGCCGAAGCAACCCTTCGGAAAGAGGGTTGCCCCTCAATCCTAACCAGGGATACCGGCTACTTGTTTAAGCGTCACTTCACTTGGGTTCCCCCAGGTACGGAACCCAGAAGCACCATAGTGAAATGCCCTGACGCATTTAGTGCAAGCAACACTCGGGACCTATCCAATCCCTGACATGCAAAACCCGCCATCAAAGCCAGGAAGAAGGGGACCACCAGCAAGCTGATGGGGGAAACCCCAACCACCCATTTGCACCACTACCCGATCGAGGCCTTACCCAGTTGCTGGGAAACCAGAGGTGACCAAGGCGATAGATCCCTGAACACCCCCAGCGGGCTTGAACCCAGCACCCGATCTACTTCGTTTGCCCATCAAACCCAACATTACTGCTAGGCCATCAGGGTTTCCCAAAAGGAGGCAGGAATAGAAGTGGGTCCCACCCGGATGAACCTATCCACCAAAGGTGGCGACACCCTTTGCTCAATTGAGGTTCCAGGGAGAACCCCCCACACTCTAGATCCTTCCGGTCTCAGAGACAGGGATTGGCTGATGGAGTGCGCCTCTGCCGTTGCCCTCACACTGCGGAAAGTTACGTTCCCCTAGAGTGTCCCCGTGAACTGACGGGTACTCGCCCGATTTCACCTTCAGGAAGGCTACTTCCAAAGTCGAGGATTTGCCACACTGAATGCCGGTCGCACATCAACAAGCGGGCCGGAGCCCAAAGGATCATAGCTACAGGCAGATGATAGATTGGTGGCGCACTTCCACCTCTTGCAGAGCTGAACACCCCCCATAACCTGGATGGGGAAATGTCACTGGGTACTCTCACTTTGGGTAAACCCAAAGAGGCTGGCTTGTCCAGTCGTCCATAACTATGACCTACTTGAAATGCCGATTCCGACACCGAGCAGTTACCTCCCCTTTGGGGGCTAACTTACCCAAATTTTCACCTTCCAGGACGAGGCTACTTCCAGAGCCGAGGATATGCCTCACAAAATGTCAGTTGTACACAGCAGGCAGGACGAGCCCGAAGAACTCCAGTCACAACCACAGCTACAGGCAGGTGGGAGACCGAAGTCTCGCAGAGCTGAACACCCCTCCACCCTGAATGGAGGAAATGTCACTGGGTACTCTCACTTTGGGTACCACCCAAAGAGGCTGGCTTGTCCAGTCGTCCATAACTGTGGCCTACCTGAAGTGCCGGTTTAAACACCGGGCAATTACCTCCCCTCTGGAGGGCAAGAGCTAGGGTCCGCGTGGTCGCTACTCCACGTGCCCACGCAAGCGTGAGCCCCCTCCGGGTTCCCTCCCATCCCATAGAATTTAAGATTACAGATACCTTAATCTTATCTTCAAAAACAGTGCCCACACTCCGGACTACTCACCTTCACAACTACCTTCGCCACTTCCTATGTCGCGGACCTGTTTCCCTCCCTTCCTATATCATTTTAAGATTGCAGATACCTTAATCTAATTGTCATAAACAGTTCCCACACTCCGGACTACTCGCCTTGACTGCTTCCTTCACCACTTCCTACGTCATGGACCTGTTTCCCTCCCTTTACATTGCATTTTAAAATTCCAGATACCGTAATCTAATCGTCATAAACAGATCCCACACACCACACTGCTACCCTTGACTACTATGTATTGAGTTCAGTTTAATCTTTGCTTAATAGTAACAACTGATGTTTTTCCTTTTGTACTGTATTTTGTTTTGCTGGTATAGGCTACTGTGGATAGAGAACTTCTGCGCATGCGCACGCTGAGGTGCCCGTGGGTACAGAACGTCACGTTATGTCTTAAAATGTAAACAAAACTACAACAATGGCGGAATGTTTTCTCATAAGGCCCATGTTAAATTTTAAAAGTTTGTACTCATATTATGGCGAAAATAGATTTTTCCTGGCTATACCACTGGTCTAGAACTTATTTTTGACACAGAACTTAATTATTCCGTAAATATAAACGTTTTTGTTAGAGCCGA